CGACCCGAAAACCCCCAAACTAATCAAAAAAATTTAACAAAACTCACAGCTCAGACTGCCTCGACGAAGCCAAACGCCGCGTCTACACCGACCCAGCCAGTAACCGCTCCTGGAACCTATGCTGGCTCGTTTTAAGTAAGATACAAGCCGAGTACGTTCCTCTCTATCCCCCTTACACTTTTCTCTCTCATTCTTCCCTTCCCCCCTCATCTCACTTAGTTGCTCAAGTACGTCAACTCGGGAAACCAGTACCTTGCTAACTGGAAGGAAAAGTCAGCTCATCCCATACTACGCGCGGTACCAGGCTTCGCAGCCGGCCATGTGGGCAGGCCATGCGCCGACGGCAGAGCAGGTCACGCAACTGACGGAGGCGTTTGTGAATGAATGGAATTGGGCGGTTGCGCAGATGTTGAGGCATTGGACGCAGCCGCCTGCGAGGTGAGCGGGTGTTTGGGGAGAGAGGGGGTGATGATAGATGAGGGTTTGGGGATTGATGTTGTGGGCGTTCTTGTTTACATTTTTTCTCCGGGGTGAATAAGAGGGGTTGAAGTTTGTTGGGTTGTTTTTTTTCTATTTATAGAAGGATTGGTAGTTTGGGTTTGCTGTGGTCGTTCCTTTGTGGGGAGATGATGGATGTTAGATTTCTTTCTTTTTTTTTGGCTAAATTTTTTTTTTGAAATAGCTCTTTTTTTCCTTTATGTAATGTGTTGTTGAGCTTGTTCAGCATATTTTCTTTTGCTCATCTTTGAATGTCTCTTGTATGCATAGCTGGCGCTGATCTCGCATTGTGCTTGCTTCCAATGGTCTGTTTGTCAAAGGAATCTCGGGCCCAATTCATGAAAGGATAGAGACGCGTTGTTTACCAAGAAAAAAAGCAAATTCGACATAAAAATTTTTCATAGTCGTGACTATGTTCAGCAGAGAGGGTTTTGTGAGGTGTGAAGGCTGCTCTCATTCTGTTGCATGTTGATTCTCATTTCTCGTTTCAACATAGTTGTGAGTAAGTACACAAACCTTCGAGTCACTGCGAAGCTTGATAGCGCCGCATCTCTCCGCTCAGCAGGAATATGAATCACGCTCAGCCATGCATTCAGTCACGCGATCCCCATCACCTTCTCGCATTTGAGATATGAAATGTATATCTTACCTTGATCTACATCCTAATTTGCTTATCATCTTCCGCCACAATGGCGCCATGTATCGCTCGATTGCGCGTCGATTCACGTCTCTTTTGCACCTCCTCACACGGGCAAATATCTGCGCCGAAGCAGTCAGTTGACACGCGGCTAGCGCCATAAGCAGCGGAATTCTGTACTGTTTCTGGCAATGCTGGGCAGCGCAGTGCAGCCGGTGAAAGATGGATGCCTGTCGGGTAAGCTCCTTAGTGTCGAGTAGGCATCAATGAGAACGCGGGCGAGCAGCCTTGCTTACGCCCTATCTCTCCTTTCTTATCCCCGAACCCTCGTATGACTTGTCATTCTATATTTTTTTAGTCGGCGAATGGAAATGCCCCACGAGGATGGATTTCTGGGCGCTCTCTCTATTTCCGTTCTGTTTCCTCCCGTGTGGGGCGAGAGCAGTCAGTGCGGTGGACAGACGTTGATCAAGGGCAGGCGACCACTTGCCTCCATACGGCAAGGTTTCGATACGTCCCGCTGCCTTTACCATAGTTTTGGACCCGAGTGGTAGGGGTCCGTTTGAGTATTTCTTCTTTGCCACGTCTGACCCGCAGCCATTAGCATGACGGGCGTCGGGTCACAAGCAATCCAGAAAAGATACACCCAGGATTCTTTCTTGTCGCACGAGCCTAGTCATGTGTGTTGGCGCTGATTTCAATTAATGGTCGGGCTCAATCTAATGTAAGCCTTGCCTTGCAAGGCGGGTCTGTCAGCTCTAAATTCACACCGGCACTCCGCATTGCCATCCACACCCTGACAAGGGCAACTAGCGATCACTGGATACACATCTCTCATAGTGGGTTGGCAATGGCAGCCAAGTATATAAAGGTCCTTTGTAGGCTCACTGTCGAGTTACCCTGCCAACATTACACCTGCCCATTTTTTTATACTGACTATCAGGGAATTCCCTCGGTACTAAACGTATCCACATTTTCTTGAGCAACGCCCAGAACACTTTTAATAGACAGTCCCCCATATTTCCTGAAGCCACTTTTAGTCGACCATGTTGTCGCCACCCCTCAGTACAAGGTCTTCCTTTGAAAGCCTCCACAGCAACACTTCATCAGTCCTCAGTTCACCAGATAGGCTTCCGCCAGCAGTACATGGACCTATGGTATGGCAAGGGAAAGAGCTTGATCCATCAGAATATGTTGTAAGATTGAGTGAGGGTGAGATTCGAGATGTCAGAGCCGCGATTATAAAATTCAAGCGTAAGATTTGCCACAACCAATCCCCTTCATCCCCCCCGAGGCCACTGATTGTTTTGGAATGTAAACTAAAAGGTTCCCTGTTTCAGTCACCGGACTTTCACGCAGCGACATCAGCCCAGAAACATTCGATCTTGGCAACGCACAACTAGCAAGCAAACTGTCGTCGCTAAGCAAACGTATTCACCACGGCCGGGGCCTCGTCGTATTGCGTGGTCTGGATGCAGCCTATTTTAACGACGAAGAAGCGGTTATTGCATTTGCAGGCATCTGCTCGTACATCTGCCCAGAGCGAGCTACGGATTCATACGCCAACCAAACCCTAAGCCACGTCCTGGACGCGACTAAGAAGCCTGTCCCGGTAGAATGCAGAGGCATCGGACTTGCGGGCTCAAAAGTCCCTTCTGCCATGGACTTCCACAGTGACCGCTTTTCCGGAGATGTGCTTGCTCTGTATGTTCGTAACGACGGGGGGCCTAACGCCGGCGGGGAGCAATTCGTCGTTAGTTTTGCCCGAATTTACAATGAACTGTTGGAAACAGATCCAGAGGTTCTGGAGACGTTGGCAGAGCCAAACTGGCCATTTGAGCTGAAGCAAAAGTGAGTCTTTTTTCCATCTCCCTCTACTGGGTCAAATGAGGCAATTTCTTCCGCCCATGCAACTAGATGACCGCATACCTATTGTTTCACTTGTCTATTATTCTACATATCTTTAAGTCACCCGTTTTTTTCCCTGCATCTTTCTCTTATTTTCTCTATCCCGCCCCCCTCTTTCCCGTGTTCTTTTTTTTCCCCTGGAAAACGACATCCACACCCAAACTTCTCCAAGTTTCCCCAATGGAGGAAATTCCCCCTTCTGAGCTCAACAAAGTAAGAGGAGGGGGGGGGAAAGTGAGGGGCAAACCGTAGTAAGAGGAGGAAAGGAAGGAGGGAAAGAAAGGGAGATAACGTTCGCTTTGCTTTCGGCCAGACAAGAAACTGATCATCTTGACCCAGAAACGGGGCAGCCTATCTGTCATACGGCCCCATTCTCTTCTTCTCGTCAAACGGAACACCCATATGCCAACTCGTCAAAGCCCCGCTGCTCGGGACCCCCAGTCTCCCTCGCGCCACGCACCTGCCCTCGCTCAACCGGCAACAGCTCCACGCCCTCACCGCCGTCGAACGGCTAGCCCGCGAATACAGCCACCAACTGTGCCGGCGCCAGGGCGACATTCAACTCGTGCACAATCTGTCCGTCATGCACGCTCGGTCCGCATACGGCAGCAGCAGCAGTAGTAGCACCACCACCACCACCAGCAAGCAAAACGCACAGAGTTCGCGCCACCTGCTGCGCATGTTCCTGCGCGACCCCGCCTGTGCGTGGGAGAAGCCTCGCTGGGCCGCCACGTCCTTTGACGATCCCTTTGAAAAGGGTCGACCGCAGAATCTGCCCGTCTACGATACGGATCCTTGGCGCATCATTAGTGGCCGTGAGAGCCATGGCTAGGTTTCCCACCTTCCCAACTCCCACCCCCTCCTCCTCCTCCTCACTTCCTTCCGCCACTGTGGATTCCTTCTCTCTCTCTCTCTCTCTGTTTTTTCTATCCTTATACTTAAATGTTACGCTTGTCGCGGTCCCGCTACAGACACGGTTACACACGTTACTCGTATACATGTATGGCACCCATCCACGTACATTATGGGTGGTATGTGCTATAATATTTTTTGGCGCGGGAGGGGGGGGGGGGGGGGCAAAAAAAAAAAGGCTAGCCATGCGCGAGTAAGGGCTACTTACTACTGTACCTAACCATGTCCCTTCTAGTCGGACAAACTAGTCTACCTTGCGACTTACCCGCATGACGTGCAGCAGTGGACCTGTGTGTGCCCATACGTAGGTGCGCTTGCACTCATATGTGTGGTGCATGGTCAAAGAGAGGAGGTGTGTGTGTGTGTGGGCTCGAGTGATGGATACGGTTTTGTGGCCAGTGAAAAAACTTTGTTTCTGGGGCTATCCACTGGAAGGGAGGAAGGGGGGGGGGCGCGGTGGGTTGGGGGCGTGGTCGATCATGAGGTCTCGCACTCGCTTTTCCCTGTCCTTTCCAGCGTTTCATTTCATTTCATTCTTTTTTTTGACACCACTTGTCTCACGAAATGCATGCCGGAATGGGTGGGTTACGGGAAACGGCGTGTCGGGCGTGTATAGAACTTTGCGGCATACGATCGACATTACCATGTTGGCGGCACCACCATCCCCCCTTATCGTCACTTTTTTTGGACCTCTCGTCCTGTAATTTCTTTTGCTTCAATACTTGGCATTCGCTTTCATTTTATTTCTCAATCTGTTCAAACTAGACTATACGGGCTGTGATAGACCTATCGAACTCATGGAATCCACACACGACGTTGCTTCACTTGTTTCAGTTTTTCATTGCCTGTATCCTGTTTCCCGCCGCGCTCAACAAAAAAAAATGGGACAAACCCGCATGGGCGATAGCAATCTTTTTGGTTGAACAACGGGGCTCGCTGAATGCATGTACGAGGTTTTCATGGCTCATCCTCGGCACATGACTGGGTATCAAAAAACAAATGGACTTGAAATGGCTGAAGCGGGGAAGAAAGGAAGATGACCCGCTCAAGCTCCGGCCTCCTTGAAGAGCTTAACAATCCATTCACTCGAAGTCGACCAATGAGCCGTTGCAAAGCCTGTAAGTGGAGGCTGGAAGCGGTCTAAAGAAAAGAGGGGACATATTAACACCGATAGTTGCAGCAGTGGGGGGAAAAAAGGAGGGGGTCTACCAGGACTTACCAGGATTGCTTCGATCGAATACGTTGGCAATCGACGTGACATATTGGAACCCTTCTGCGTCAATGTGACCACGTTCACGCAGTTCGTCTGGGTTATCACGCGCTAATTTGAACGGCGAATACCCCCGAAGAATGCAACGCCAATGGTATAGAAGCACAGGAAAGGCGAATTCCCACTTTTTGATTTGCGTTGTGACGACGTTGCTGACTTGGTTCTCAAGCAACTAGTGGCCGAGTTAGTAAAAAGGAAACAAAAGCGAGGAAAAGCAACGTGCTATCCATAGCGGACGACTTACAGTACCGTTTTTCGACTTGATATAGTCTTGAGCTCCGTGGTGAATGTATTCGAGATTCCAGAAGATGACATAAAACGTCAAGAATAGTTCGTACCAGGGCTTGATCTTGGGCTTGAAGATTAGTGCAGCCAGTTCCTTGACAAAGAGCTTCTCCAGCTTTCGGAGGTATTTGACGGCAGCAACATCCATCTGGTGAGTGATTGCACCAGGGAGTGGACGATCGCATGACCCTCGATCGTATGCTTCATAGTCGCTATGGCCGAGCCTTGAGTAGTCATATTCACGTATCCCAGGGATGTTGGGGGAGAAGACGGAGCCATAGCCCTGAGAAACCACGGAGAGACACTGGAGGCGCATGGCTAGGTCGAGAGCCTTGCTCCCGGTAACTTGGCGCATGCGTATTACTTCTTGATAGGTACTGTAGGCAATTTCGTCGCGACTGATGCGAGCAAAGATCCACTCTTCAATAGCAGGCTGAAGGCTGGAAAAGTATCGTTCCACAGCCACGACAAGGTTCGCCGTATCGTACACGGCGTACGCTGGCTGTTCGACAGTAGGCACCTGTCCCTCTCTGTTGGACCAAACAGACGTGGCAACGTCGAGTGGACCACGCTTCGGGCTATAAGGGCGAAAGGCGATGCGCAACGGCTGCGCGTTGGGTATGGGACCGTAGCCAGGAAGGTTCCAGATAATTTCCATCTCGTACAGTTGACTGTTGTATATCCAGTCGTAGCCAAGGAATTCGGCCTCTTCCTGGTGCTCACGGCCATTGCCTGTTACACGGTCAGCAGTTGATCATTTCTGGCTTGCCATGGAAACATACAGCGACGGATGAGGCTCGTGTCTTCGAGGTGTTCTCGGTAGCACGGCTCACGAAAGGACCTGGCGTGACCGGTGATTTTTTCGCACTTTTCACACGGATCGCCCTCGTCACACTAGATTTTTGTTAGTCTTGAGAACGGGTACATGAAAAGACGCACACGTACACCAGACTTGTAGAACCTGCAACGAACGCAAATGCGCTTGGTCTTGCGCATGGTGTGCGTCTTCTCCCTCTGTCTCTCTTGAAGTGGGCCTTTTCGCTTCGACACCTTGAGCTTCTCCTGCCGCTCGACAAAGGACGAAGGCACCTTGGCAGCCTTCTTCTTGGGTGTTGGTCTATGGCGCGCCAGTATCTGCGTGGCGGTCCGGTCAATGTGCTCTACAGGGGCATGGTGTTGGGCGTAGAGTTGATGGTCCGCGGGCGCTTCTGCGACAGGCCATTCCTGTGCTATGTTGGAAGGCCGTTCGTAGACAGCAGAGGCACTCTGGGGTTCGGCTGGCTCGACCATGGGCCATGGGGTAGTGGAAGTGGTGCTGTCATGTCTCGTCACTGGCAGGCTGGTTGCAATGGGGTCACTGGTGTGGTCTGGATACTGGCCATGGTGCGCCCAGGCGGCAGCAGCATGGTGCAAAGGAGGCTGCTGTTCATGGCTTGTGTGCAGCAAGATGGCCTGGGGGAGCGAATGCGATGGCAGTGGGACTGGAGGCAGCTTTTGGGCATGATTCGAGTATGGTGGGTCTGCCGCGGTGGCGGGGGTCTCCTGGGCATTCTCAGCTACGATAGCAAAAACGCAGCAGACGTGGTGTGCACTTACTGGTGAGATGCGCAACGGATGGAAATGGTCGTGGGCAGCCAGTGGCAGGGGAGGAGCCGGGGTTAGGGCAGGCTGGTGTTGGTGCTGGTGATGGTGGTGCTGGTGGTGCTGGTGGTGCTGGTAGTGGCGGGACACGGCAGGCAGCTGGTGGTGCGGGAGCGGCGCGCTCCCATCGCCATGGCAGTACGAGACGGAAGGGCGGTCCGCATACGACTCGTCGGGCTGATGCTGGTGCTGGTGTTGCTGCCACTCATGGGCCGGCTGTGGTCTGACATAGCCAGTCGCCCACGCTGACGGGGCCTGTAGACTAGCGGAGTCGACTCCGGGCTGTGGGTAGTGGAGAAATGCCGGTGATGGGCCGACTGGGTACGAGTCGTGGGCAGCAGCAGCAGCAGTCGCGGCGGCGTCGTGTTGCCAGGTTGCCAGTCCGCCCAGGGCATCGTGGGCGGCGCCGGGATAGTCGTGGAAGTGCGAGGGGGTTTGGGCGGCACTCCTGTACTGCGGGCTGGTGGCCGACATGGAGGGCTTGGGTCGGAGAGAGAGCGTGGCGGCTTCAGCTTCAGGAGAGGTGTCGCTGGCTCGCCTGGCAGTGCTGGGTGGAATGCGTCGAGCAGGGCAGGACGGCCGCCTGAGCCATAAAAACAGAGCTGACGCGGTAGATCGTCGCTCGCAAAAGACGACGGCAGCAAAGGCTTAAAGGAGTCTCCCACGGCGGCAGGCCGAGAACCTTGGGACCGCACGGCTGCTGGGTGTCAGTGCCATGCATGCATACTTTTAGTTGCCGTTAGGGCTGCATCTCCCCGCAAACCCGCTGGGTCTAGGGGACCGCCCAAGCACTGCCTCCGAGGAGCGTTGTCCCAGACTCGCGCCCGCGCCGCTGCGGTTTGGTGCCTGGTGATGATCGGGCTCGTTGCTGATGGTGTTGTTGTGGTGGTCGTCTGCCCCGTCTGAGCGTCGACATGGCCGCATTCCCCACGGGCCAAAACAAAGCCTGCCAAGCCCCATCACCACTCCCCCGACCACCACCACCACCACCGCCGCCTGCCGCCCATGGGCCTCGACCCCAGCGAATCATCCCGGCCTTGCATTTGCAATCTTCTCCCCGTTTCTACGCCTGACGCCCACGGAGAAGAGCGCAAAACAATCCCCTATCATGTTCCGTTGTGCATCCACCCCGCCTCATCGTGCAGCTGTAGTCTCAAAGCCTGCTTCCAGGAACGCCTCCCTTTACGTCACACGCCGATAAGACTCTACCATGTCCGCAATATACCACCACCGTCACCAGACAACGGAAACAGAGCGCCCTGGGCCCCTTGGGCAGTCGTGCCATTTCATCTGCCCAAAATTTCTCGAGGCCAGTCATGTGGGAATGTTACGCTGACAGAATGATGTCACAACCGTCTGAGATGGAGCCAGCCCTGCGCCCAAATATCTCCCGAGGCTACGGCAATGACGAGCATCATAAGCTCCTCAACATCGGTGTGAGACATGCTTGGCGATCTGCAGCCCCGTTGGAATCTAGCCGGCCCAGGGCACAGAAACACGTGGTGGTAGTGTGCTCTCGACTTTGGTCCATCCCATCTTTCACACATGATCGGTACCAAGCTTCGTATCAGACTGTCGTCTCATGCAGGGCAGACGTAAGCACAGGCTTATTCCGAACCCTGAACCAAAAAAACAAACAACTGCACCTTGCATGTGTATACACTTGTTGAACCACTGTATCGGCCTGTGCCAGGATAATGAATACACATGCCATATTAGTGGGAGCAAGAAAAATTGGGAGTAGGGTGTTCTCGTCTGCCTACAATCATCCTGAAAATACTGGAATGAGGGAGAGTACCCAATCTAACACCTTTCTTGTCTTGGGTCGTCTTAACAAACTAGCTGTTCACTGGCAGGCTCCTAGAAGTGTGGAGGCATGGGAAAGAGAGAATATAGCATAATGATACCATTCAAGCTGATATTACATGGCCAATGCCAATGGCTCTTGAACATAATGAAAAGAAAAACTTGCAAACAAAAACCATTTCTCCACCAGTGTGACACTTATCATTTACTCTTCTTCGCCTTGGGCTTTGCCCTCTTCTTTCCTTCATCTTTTTCACTCTTGTCACCATCATCATTATCATCGTACGTCTTCCTCTTCCTACCCGCCACTCTCGCCGATCTCCTCGTTCCCTCTGTTCTCTCCTTTCCCTTTCCTTTCAACACTTTCGAGTCTTCTTTCTTTGCCCCAACGCCCTTTGCGTCCTTCTTTGCGCTTCCAGTCTTCTTCGCCCCAGTATTAGCTTTTGCCTTTGGTTTATGCCCGCTTGGAGCCGCATCATCCTCATCATCTTTGTGCTCTTCATCTTGTGTGCTCTCCCCCCCTTTCTCTTCTCCGTTTCCCTCGTCTTTCTTGTCATCCTTTTCTTTCTCTTCAGCGTTTTTCTTGGCTGGAGATTTCTCCTGCGGTACACCCTTTTTAGGCTCGTTCTTGCTTCCAGCTTCATTCTCATATCCACCTCCTTTCTTTTCATACTCTTTTGCTAATTTGCTCGCCTAAAATCTGTATTAACACTCGAATAAATGCCATAAATGTAGAAAGATGGGAAATAAGGAAGGAGGAAAAAAAACTAACCTTCCACGCACTCCACTCTCCCTTCCCCCCACCATCCTTATTCGTCTCCTGCTTAACTTCCTCCTTGACCTTCTCCCTCAACTTGGGATCCGTCGGTTTACCCTTACTAGACGGCCTAGTCACGTTGTCAGTACAAGCATCATAGGAAGAGAACACCCCCCCTCCTCCCATCCTCGCACAACAATGTGTACACCCGCTCCATGGCAGCGCAATTACACCGCCACCCCGCCACCTCCTCCCTCGCACGAAGACCCACATACATTTTCGTTGTATCAGTCTTTTCACCACCCTTCCGTCTCCGTCTCCGTCTATGTTCTTAACCGTACAATTCTTCTTTAGAAAAGAAAGAAAAAAAGCTACGCGACGCGTTTCCAAGACCAATACGAAAAAATAAAAAGATAAATCACGAGATCCAACTTTTCAACCGCCGGGGACACACAAAACTCATTCCCATCTCCCCCTTCTAAATACCCTTTTCCCCCCAACCCCAAACGCACGTCCTCTCTTCCAGCCTCTCGAAACTCTAACCACCAACCTATGATGTACCTCTCTACCAGAGAAAAAGAAAAACCAAAATAAGGTCCTGCAACCCATTCCCTTCCCCCGGGGCCACGAGATAAAAACTATGACATCACGACTTTATTTGGGCGTTTTAGCGGGGGATGCGTGTATGTGCGTCTTGCGTCCTTGGAAGCTAACGACTGTGGGGGTGGTTGGGCTAAGGGGGGAGGCTGGGGTGCATTGGCGTTGGCGTTTAGGGGGAAGATTGTGTGACGTGAGTAAGTGCAGTGCTTAGTTTCCCGGGAAAGAGAAAAGTACAATGATAGATGAAAGTAGGAGAAAGGGAAGAAGAAGAAGAGAGTGAAGAGGAGGTTTGTATGGAGAGATGAATGTGAGACAAGGGAAAAGAGTACATGTGTATATACTAAAGAGTTTCGCTGCTAGGGAGTTTGTTTATTTTTGTTTATTTCGTAGTACACCACACTACTACTACTACAACAACAACAACACCCAACCTCCACAGAGAGAAACTTCGACAATAAAAAGTATGAATACCACCCCCACCCCCCCTCCTACCCTCTACCTCTCATCACTCACTTTCCTGATAGTCCCATACCTCGCCTTCCCCCCATTCCTCGTCTCATCCCGCAAACTCCTCTCCATCTTCTCCTCCTCCCGCTTAAACCTCTTCTCTGCATCTTGGATAATACTCACAGCCTCATCCATGATATCGCTCCCGACACGCCAGGATCTCAGCACCACGCCTTGCTCACCCAGAACATGCTCAGCATGAGCCCATCGCTGGCGCCAGAGTATTTCCTTCTTAGTCCCGTATTGTTGCTGGTCGCCACCGGGTCCCGCAAGTGTGCTTCCAGTGCTAGTGCGATTGATAGCCTGGCGCGGGGCTGCAGTGGAAAAGGGTTGGGAGGTTTGCGATGACGTTGTTTGTGGGCGTGCGTGGTACGGTATTGAGGGTGCGTGCTGCCATGCTGAAGAGGCTTTGGAGCCCACGTACGATGCGGCGTTTGCGGCTGTGTCGCGGTTTCCGCGTCGGGGTGGCGGAGGAGGTGGACCCTTTCGAACACCGCTGACTTCTAGAGTTGATGCATTTGAGCTAGACGCTTCTGTCGATCTCAATGCAGGTAGGTTATTGTAGACCGACCATAGCTTGTCGCGAGCCATACCAGCATAGGTTTGCTGGTCTTCTGGTACCTGGCTCTGATGCGTCATGGTTGGCTTGGGGCCTACCGGAGGTTTGGTAGGCCCTGATGTGTTTGTATTTCTAGGGGAATCTTGTTGCTGTGCGAGTGGGCTTGATGTGTTGACGGCTGTTGAGGACACCCGGGGCTTTGGTGGCTGTGGCTTTGTACTAGAGGGAGTTGGTTTAAATGGCGCGGATTCGCTCCCAGGACTTCTCAATGCGACAGGCTTTCTAGGAGGCGGGGGCGCCGACTTCATTGCATTCGAGGCGACTGAGGAGGAATATCTCTCGTTGTCGGCTCTGGTTTCCGAATTGAATCTTCTCAGTGCAGGCGACTCATCCACATCGTCATCCGACGACAGATCTATCAAGTTTGGTGCCGATCTTTGCGAGGAGGGTTTCCTTTCCGGCAATTTTGGTCGTCTATTGTGATCCAGCTCTGGAAAGAGTGAGCGGGAACGCTTATCATTCTCCGCATCCATGTCACGTAGTGACGCTGCAATTGCAGCCTTGAGTTCGGGATCGTGCTCTTCAGAAAAGGATCGAGCCTTACTTGAGGCGGCCGAGTTGTCTCCACCGGCAGCTTGCGCCTGTGGCGGAGATGCAGAGCGGCTCCCTGAAGAAGGACCCATCGAAGGGTCAAAGAATCCCGGGTTATCCGTTGTGGTGACGTCGCGGATGAATACTGCAACGACTCTTCCTGGGTTCTCGAGGACGAAATCGGTGTATACCTCAAGATCAGCCTCGCCACTATCTCCGATCAAAATAAAGTTGCGCTCTGGAAAGTCCCTAGCAATCTTATCGAGTGTAACCTTCTTCCTCTCGGCAACGGGCTCAAAGATTCCTTGTAGCATACCGCTATACTGTTTTAAATGGAACGAGCCTGGTGGCAGTCCAGCCAACGAAAAGTATTTGGAAATGACCGGATAAAGCTGCCAGGGAGAGTTAGAGACGTAATGGAATTTTACTCCCATTTCTGCCATCTTGTTGTACCACTCTCTGACGCCGTCGATGGTCAGATCGAGGAGATCGCGAATGAAAACGTTGCGGAAGATTTCACGGGCGCCACTACCAATAGCAGAGTGCTTAATTGTGTCGTCAATGTCGCTTATGACGCTGATACCCTGTGAAGCGGTGACAATAACTTCTTCCGTTGCCGAGAGTCTGTCTGATGCTAGGATGCGTACGTGAGTGGGCACGAAATCCAACGCTGCGCTTATACTAAAGTGTCCTGCAGCATCTGTATACACTGTCCGTTGCTTGGAGATGGTTTCATTGTAGAAAAACACACTTATGGGCGTGTTAGCCATGGGTATAGCAAGAAAGTGTCGTAGTCGAGCCATGAGCCGGGCGTTGGCCTCGGCAAGCTCTGCAGGACTCATTTCTGAAGGTTGATTCCAAGAGCCGCGTTTTTGCAAAGGCTTGATGCTAGCCTCACTCCGCATTGAATCTTGCGACGCCTTGTGGGTCAACTGGTGGACTCTGCCATTGCCAGGTCGCATGCTGTTACCACTTTCCGTCCGGTACAAATCAATGTCATCGTTTTGCGGAGCAGGCCTCTCACTGTAGGCACCACGTGCAGCGGCTCTCGCCTCGCTCTCGCCTCTACGCAGGATTTCCTCGGCTTCTCTAGCAGCAATTGCTTCATCTCGTTGGGCATCGCGCATATGGGCTCTTTCGCGATAGTCATGGCCTTGTGGGCTTGTATCTCGACTACTCTCTGCAGATGAGCCAGATGTTTGTGCAGGCGCCTGAACGCCAACAAGCTGACGTGCAAGGCCAATGAAGAGCCTCTGTTTCCTTGACATCGGTCCCTTGTGTGGCGAGTATATCCAGCCACGAACATCGACGTCTACCACCGCATTGTCATCCTCGTAGTTGTTCCACTGCTCTTTCCAAAAGTCGGCATCTCCCGCATTATTCGATTCGTGTCCATCACTCCCTTGACCCCCAGCTTCCTGCGTTGCCGCTGTTCGTGCTTCTGGCTTTCTCTTGACGTGTCTTCGGGCATAACTGGGGAACAGAACCATCTCCTCACGTCCGCTCCTGACGACGGCTGCATCGGGAAATCCGCCGGGTGTATCATCCTCATAGTCGTATTGTGACTCTCTATTGCTCCAATTCGAGGCATATTGCTGTGTGTATGTCTGCCTGAGCTCGTTGGCCGCCTTGAGATAGCCAGCCAGCTTTCGTCGCCGCGACCCCGGCTCCCGTGCTTCATAGCTCTCTTGGTACGACATTGCGGGATTACTCAATGTCTTTTCGCCTGAATTCTTCGCTATCTGCTGTCGCCGTGCCCTTGCTGCATCTTCAAGGTAACCACTGCCAGCCAGGCGTCGGGTGAAGCCTCGCAGGCGCTGGGCAATGCTCGGCTTGCCCCGGAGTCTGAGAGACTGGCGATAGACCAGGTATCTGTATATACGTGACTGGGCACGGTGCTTGAGCGAAGGAAATGTCTCGTGGCGGAGTTTGGAGAGATGGATGCGCGTGCGGGCTCGCGTCCGGGAGAAAAGGAAGCGGAGGATAGAGTCGCGGCCGTGGGCAGAGGGCTTACGGTGAAAGGGCAAATTGGGCATCTACCGGCAGCCGACTCAGCGGCCGTGACCAGCCTGTATATGTCGAAGTCGGGTTGATACGTGCAGCGCTACTGGTAACGCGCGCCGCATCTTCTATGCGTTGCTGCCGCTCCAATTAGAGTACGACGTCATTTGTGGAGGTGCATGGCGATCGCGTGGTTCAGCCCCGTTTACGCAGCCACACCCAATACATGCAAAACTCAGAGGTGACCAGTGACTTTTCTGTCAAAAGTTGCACAAAGGAGGATACAGCTATTCGATTACTGTGGCAAAAACACGGTATATATCACTAGGAACTACATTCTATGTCCCACAGAGATTGCTAGTATGGGGCTACTATCTGGTATATTCTAATGGGTTAGGCTTTATCACGGCTTTGCCAGAGCAACATCTATAGCCCGTGTAACATTCGGCACATCCTTCTGCAGCGCAGCCACAATTTCTTTCCATACCCTCGTTCTGAGCTCATTCATCTCAGGGCCTTGCAGACATGGTGGGATTGGTTGGATCTTGTCGCTCTTCCAAAATCTTCCGTGTACCTTCTCCCCCTGCACCGTCGCGCTCAACACCGTGTTCGCCCCTACGGGCGGTGTTCGCATAAACAAGAAATAGAACAGAAAAGCTAGAATATGAATACCAGGGAAGAAATGATCCCGGCCAATGTCTGTTTGGACCCAGCCCGGACAGACGCTTGTCACAATTACGTCACCAGAAGAGATCTCGTCGGCAAGCTTCGTGGCGGCGTACATGAGAAAGGCTTTGGAGAAGCTGTACTGGCTTTGCCCTTTGTGCTGCTCTCGCTTGTTGTAATGGTCGAGCACGCTGGATTTCTGGCGGACTTCTGGTGGAACTACGGCTTTCTGGTGGAGACCGGAATTGACGAACTCAAGAACTGGAATCCTACCCGTGCACTGCTTTGACTGCTTTAGCTTAGGCAAGAGTAGGATAGCCAAGAGTGTTGTAGAGAGCGTATTGGTTTGTATGTCCTCTTCCCAGCCATATTGCGACTGATGGTAATCGACCCGCCAAACGCCAGCATTCAGAACAGCTATGTCGAGGTGCTCGAGGTCGTTCGCACGACTCGCAAAGGCCTCCACACTGTCGTACGACATCATGTCGAGTTTCCAGACCTCGAGTTGGCCCTTCCGCCCAAGCCGAGCCTCTAAACCAGCGCGGGTTGATTCTCCCTTTGCTAAATCTCGTGCTCCAATGATCACCCTAGCCGCTCCCAGTCTTGCAAACTTGAAAACTGCCTCTTTACCGATGCCAGATGTCGCACCAGTGACAATGATGTTTCTTCCAGAGTAGTCCTCGTGCACCTCTTTTGGCGAGTTGAGCCATTTTTCCTTAAATACGTTGATCATGGCAGCTATGTTTAGTATGGATAGTAGAACGGTGAGTGCAAACCGCCAGGATACGTGGCTTGATATGTAATTTCAGTGAACAGGCGGGAAACAGAGGGTGAAATAGAAAAGAATAGCAGACACCTAATTGAAGTTATGCGGTCAATGATGCGGCGTTACTTGGCTCCGATTCGTCCGCTATGACCTGGCACAGTCCTGGTCTCGACTGGGCGATGTAGTGGTGGTTAGACGAAGAAGAAGGGAATATTTCGACTGAACAGCTGAAGACTCTGCCAAATGCTTACTACTCCGTCTTGTGCAAGCTTTGGCTCTTTTGGGGTGGTACATTAAATTTTATTGATGGTCAATTGTGGATACGATTGGAGCATGAGTAGCGAGAGGCGTTCTTTTCGTTCTCTTGAGTGCATTAGTAGGTTGATCTACGGGACGATCAGCGAGTATTAAAACAAAAGAGAAAGGCATAGAAGCCAGTTCCGTGCAAAGAGACAGACGACTCGAGTAGCAAGTGTCGCATCTCCAGGTGCGATGACTAGCGCGGGCTTGGCATACGCGAACCGTTGGCGATTTCGGGCATCCTCAACTACGTAAACAGCCAAGGTGAGAACACACAAAGCAACATTACAACACCTCGCCATGATAGCGCCCTACCAATCGCCCTCTCGCAACCGCTAAGCAAATAAATACAAAAAATCTACCCCCTTTGCTGCAATTGAGCAATACTCTCCCCCACCATGGCCTTCAACAACCAACAGCAGCCGCCCAGAGGCCCCGCGGCCGCTGGAGGTAACCCAGACTTCAACGCTATGCTCCAGCGCTCCATGCAGGCGCCAGGCAGCCAACTGCAGCCGCAAATCTCCGAGCTTCCTCGCGGGCCGTCGCCAGGTATGGGTGAGGTTGATCCGCCCTCGAAATGTTGCATGGCGCAATACTAATGCAACTACCGCAGGTTACGAGGGCGTGTACAGTGCCACACCACCACCCCAGCTGTCGCAGCAACAACAACAACCACATGGACCCAATGTGCTCGGTGGAGCGCGTGGCGGTCTTCCGCAGCCGATACTCCCCGTCGACCTACCACCGCAGGCCTTCTTGACGTCGGCTATGCTGCTAGACATGGTGGACAGTATGCGCACACTCTTGCATGGCGTACTCTGGAACAGCACGTTGACACTGTACAGAGAAGGTTGATGTATTGCTCCGTGACGAGAAAGAGTACATTGGCATCCTACGATCCTACGACCAATTCGGTATGTCTGCCTGTGCCAGCCTGCTGCCTTTCGGACCCATGTCAGCTAATCATGCACGTAGCAAACCTTGTTCTCACAGAATGCTACGAGCGAATAGCAGCACGCAACCCCGACGCAACACCTTCCTCTGACCCCTCGGTCCCCAGATGGCTGATAAACGATGTCAAACTTCCCGGCGTCATGACTGTACGAGGCGAGAACGTCACCATATGCGCGACCGTTGACCTCGACCGGGAAGAGCATCCCAGGGGCGCCAAGTTCGCAGAGGAGGATCAAGTGAGAGCGTTGGCAGCGTCACAAAAAGCAGAGAGGAAGGAGATAGACTCACGGCGAGCAAAAGCCCTGAGGCAAGCAGGCATTGAGCCCGGGTTCGGTATGCAAGGGTGATCAGGAGGATTGAGTCTTGTAAGCATTAAAAAAAAGGGAAGGGAAGAACATGTCGATCATGAAATGGATAAGTGGTAGGCCCAAAAGCCCTGGATAGCTACGTTGGCTGGTTACGATATCAATGATACCAGGACGCCATGTCCACCTGCGATGAAGGAACACTCCTGATTTCTTGGCTCCGCTATCCAAACATTTCAGGTATACAAAACGTTGTCTCCATATTGTCATCAATAGTATTTATCCATGTTCAAATAGCGGAGCTCCCTCAGTGAACCTTGTCTTGAACATGTGACGTAATGTGATTGGCGCACACCGCATCAACTATGGATCCGCTGATTTGCAGTAGTCCCTAGTGGTGATCAAGAGAGAGGAGTATAGAAAAACAAACCATACACGTCCTCCCAAGACGGTGTCGGGAAGCGGGGTTGAGTTTGGCAGTATGCTGTACGTGATCAGGGTCTGATCAACGCCCACCCTTTCCCAGCTTCCGCGTCTTTCCATACGAACCTGGTATAGCTGTTATGTACAGTTGTGAGCATGAAAGCACTGAGTAAGCGCTTTCATAGCACGGGTGGAGGCTTATCAAGCTAATCGACACCGACTTTTGGTAATCGCAGCAGGTATCAGCAAGCTCCCCAACGCGACACCCACAGCTAAGTGGTTATAGAAGTCAGACCGGCATGCCTCCTTGTGTAACTGCAGTTCTCGTCGAAGCAGAGCGGATATCGCGTCTCGAGCGGGACATGTAGCGGGGGTGGTGGGAAGCGAGTAAGCGCCTATGGTGAATTGCTTTTGTGTAGAGAGGTACAAGGTCCGTTCCGTAGCCGGTTCACCATGCGGTCCGTCGCAGAGTGAGTCTGGAGAGGTATAAGGTCGGGGCGGTGGATTGCGTCGCGTTACCCAAGGCGCCCGGCTTAGCATTCTATGCAAGTTGGCGGCTTCTACTTACTGTCAAGTACTGGTAAGTTTCATTCCACTAATGCACGTAATTGCCGCTTCCGAGCAACGACACCCATCGGGCAGCTGCATCGAATCCTGTCAAAGCGCTCAATGATGTCTGTATGCTATCAGCAGGCATCGTGCAAACTTACACAATGGATATTGTTGAAACGAGAGATCCCCCAGTATGGGAGCATGCCGTCGTCGCCGTCGACTTGCTGGGGAGGAGCAGCTATGACCATACGGCTTCAAGCCATCTCCCCAAGCCTTGGGTGGCAGCTCAAGAGAGTGAGAGGCCATGAACAGATTCTCTTATCCCGTCAAAAGCTATTGACCAGCTTCTATATGCATGGTACAGTCGAGGCAAGGCTATCTTGCCCTGATGGGATTCTCTAAGAGTGTAGAAACGGTGTCGGCGGACCGCGGAGGACACATCCGAGGCGACGCGTGCTTAGGGACGAGCGATTCGAGAGTCTAGTGAGGCTCTATGCAAGCAAGACTGATGAAAAGCTGGATGAGTTTGGAGTGTACGATGCAGATAAGCCGAACAGCACATGATGACATGGTCGGCAGCCGCGCCCGGGACACTTGCTACATTCCAACTGACCTCGCATGACGGCAAAATACAAAGGACGCGTTGAAATTGGGTGAGCAGGACGCATGCAATGCATCTGTCGAAGGAGGCTGCGACGTACAAGAGTTTGATATCAGAGTGTGCGGGTGTGGCAGCCGTAACGACATGGATGAGGGGAGTACTAATTGCTAGGGTACCATACTTTCGACGAAGGCGCGCTGGACGGGTCCTTCTTCACCACCATCCTTTCGTCACTCTACTTTTACCATCAGCTTTTCATCTTGCCCATCAGTTTGCGAAGTACCAAGGCGTTGAGCCATCTCCATCGCTGCCCATGTTTGCATAGGCAGACACGCATCTCCATCCCCCAGCCCGATCAGCCCTACCCAACCCTTTGCAACAGCAAACCGACGGAAGCCATTCGACACGAGTCCCCATTGATTCTTGCTGGCTCCAGACTTTTATTGGGAGATCAAATGAGGCTTCCGGCTTACACTATCGTTGGGCCTACTGATCAGGCATTGGGCAGTTGCTCGACTTGATGGATTGTTGGACGTGCTAACACGTTCGGCGAACTCAACTGACGGGAGTAACCTCCCAACTGTTTAGCTGACGACTAATTCACAACGGATGCGCCGTTCGATATGTTGCCTTAAGCTGCGTCGTGGAAAATTGTGCCGCCTACACACACCACTCCATGTGGTCCACAGCCCCTGACATACGAACACGCCAGCCTAGCACGAGCCTTGGACAAAAAGAAAAAGACATGTCCATCTGTCAGCAATGAGAAGAGGTTGTAAGGAGACAGCACGGAAAATGAAATCAAGGGCAAAATTGAGAAATGTACGAGACACGGCTTTGCACCGCGATTATTCCGACTCTTTCTATATTTGACCAGAGACATGACGCACAAAGACAGACAGCTACCACGCCAAGCGACAGTTGCATGTGGTGCACCAATCACCTATGGATAGCCATCATGAGAGGATTGAGAATCGTGGGAAAGCGTAGGCACACGAAGAAAGCGAGACATGTTGAAAGTATGCAAGAGTTGGGCCTAAAAGCGCAAACCCTGAGCACTGCCTCGGCTACGTACCAAGGCTTTACCACTCAGCAAGACGTCTGTCCCGCTCGGCGCAGCTGTTTCCAATTGTGCGGCTGTTCAAGGCCATGTTGGCTGGATATCTATAACCCCTGGGGCTTTTCGGAGCCTGGTGCGACGGCCTCACCAAGAGTATCTCTGCAAAATTCATGACAATTCGTCTCCTCTTGGGGCGCTCGTCCGGGCTGGCCGGTTCGCTTTGTTCCCATCGGGCCACGTTGCTCCTGGGCTCAGGCTTGGATACCAAGCAGTCGAAAGTTCCGTTGTCGACCATTGAACACGCACTGTAAAAGACAGGATTCCTTCGGGGCTGCATAGGTTCTAAACATCTCGTATTGGATCGTATGGGCGAGTCTCGCTTGGCGAATACTCGGTTCGCTGTGGGCTCGAAGACTTTACGCTACCGTCTGAAGGTACTTGGGCAGTGTGAACATGTATTGGCGAACCCGGCCCTGACCCTAAACTCGTACCTGGTATTCCTTGTAGCATGCTGCCTGCTTCTGTGCAGTCGTCGAGGTTAGCTAGAGTACGTTTGGACAGAGTTTGCCTACCTGCCCGCCAGGCCACGTCTATAGGGAGAGTTGCGATTGCACGTACCGTACTTGCGTTGAATATCCCGGAGAAGTTGCGACACGCGCCACTTCAAAATAATCATCTCGACTGGCGGAATACCTTCAGCACTTAGTCGGGCATTGATCCTCTCCAGCATTTGTTCCTTTTCGTTCGCGGGGATGAGGATCCATCTTTTCCAGTCTGGATGCGCCTCAGCAAGCTGCCTCGCCTCGTCTTTTGTTATAAACTAGTAATATTAGCCCGGCTTACCCTTGCGACCAGAGCATACTCACGTAAAAACGGTCCCATTGCTCCTGGCTGTGGTTTGCAGCTGTTCGGGCCTCCTGGACCGTCGCATTTATCCGAATGCTCATAGTGACAGTACGGCCTGGGACAACGACGCCCAAAGCAATGCCAGCCAGTCTCTGGATTCACGGAAAGCAAGAGAAGCAGGAGATTTGAGGGCACCGCGGTTCACCCCCCGCTTCGTTCTAGCCTTGGCAGGACTTTGTTTTTGGAGAGGCTGAGGTGAGGAACTGTGACAGTGCTCGCAGGGCTCGGGCCAGAGAGAGTGTCGGAATCGGCGGTGGCTGAAATGCTTGTGCGTCATATCAACTGGCATCATTGGCAGGCAGCAGATTCAGGTAGGAACAGCAATTTCTCATGCCTTATTGCTTTTCTACCTCGTCATGCAAGAAGTGGCTTCTCGTGCAATATTGACCTGGTGGTGAGGCTTCGGACACAACCAGACCAGCTCCCGCCATCGAAATTGATGCCGTACGCCCACCACTTGAATGCCCAAGCACGGACATTCGGTAGCGTTCGGCAACACGATTGCTCAGTAGTTTCAAACTCGAGGGCGATTGCTATTCTGTTTGCGGCTGGTCATCACAGTCAGGAGTGGCACAAATACAACGCACGCCATCTTCTTCGAGCCGCATACAGCCCAAAGCAACCGATCCCGCACGGCCATGCCTGACCAACAAGGAGGCCATCCAGGAGGTGCCAGCATCCTTGTCCGCGAGCGCCCTCCGCCGCTGCCGAGCGCGGAAAATTCGATACTGTATGCGTTCGGCCGCTACCTGGTCGATCAACCGTGTGCGCGGACCCGGGGTCAGACTTGGAAGTCTAGGTCACATTTCCGGCCCTAACCGGCCCGAGCCTCAACGTGCAGCACGTCCCAGGGCTATCCTGGAGAAAAGAATTCAGTGCGTCACAGCGACTATTGTGGTTGGAGTGCTCACTATCCAAGTTTCCCTGGACCATGCCCCCGAATCTAACTCTGAAACGTACCCTGGAGTGACGGCCTCCTGGCTCCGTCTAGTACCACCTCACGCTTCCTTTCATGGCCAGCACCAGGGCGATGCTGTGGGGGCACAGCCGGCACGGCAACTTACACCGCGCAGCTTTTGGCCTGTTTCACGCGCCAAATGCGCCACGACTCGCGTGGGTCTGGCACAGGCACAGGTAATCCCAGACTCGTGGTCATCGTCGTCACACTGTTGCCAGTATTCTGGAGGCGCCACGCGACAGCACTAGACTCAGATCTTTGACATTTATGCAATGCTACACAAACGTCAGCGCTGCCACGCACAACCAAGGCGCGTGTTGTACAGCATACGACTGCGTGCGCGATGTCCAGCAAACCGACGTGGACTGCATCATCGAGCGTGGGATTTCCTATATGGTCCATTCCGGATTGGCGCCGTCCTACGTATGCCCAAAACATCGTGAGCGCCGAACGTCTGTCCGACCATTGAATCAACCTCTCACGTCCATCTTTCACCGCTAATCTCATGGCTGACGTTTCCCTGCGTGGCACACATGCCCCCCACACCACCACGGCGCTCCGTTGGCCGTATATAACTGCCGTCATACTGTGAGCAATCTGAGGAAATGGGTTGAGTAATGTTCCTCGAGCCTTGTAAAAGTAATGCCATTAAGGGAATAACGGGGATATGGGTTTCCCCGAGGGCCGGCTACCCGCTCCTGTGGAGATGAAAGGACCAGGATCGACTGTTCATTACCCCTTGTCCTGGTGCCCGATACGAAAACGTCGCGACACAGCCACAGCTCCCGGGTCCTCGACACTAGCAATTGGTGTCATATTGGAGTCTTCCATACTTTCTTCTTCGAATATTACAAGGAACTTTTGGTACCTGCACCCGCATCTCCACTTTGGCGTGCATGCAGACGTTGACTGCAAGTGCGTTGCTGCAGCCTTATGTAGTTGGAAAAGAGAGCGGCCTGAAGCAGAAGGGTACATATACTTCTTTTTCAAGTTCCTTCTCACTGGCCTTCACCTGGAGTTTTCCTAATCGCAACAAGCCGATTCGTGCTCGTTGTGCACATCCTTGCCAGCGCCAGATCCGGATTACGCGGCATCTGTTACGAACACCTTTCTGAGTGGTGTATTTGATCGTTTAGGACTTTCTTTTTTCGTGACCATCGTCACACTCATTTCGCTATCACGACGCGTAATCTCAAACGGGAACACTACTCCGACCTCTCCAAAGGCACAGATCCTTGGGGAAGGTAACATAGTTTCCGTGCGATATCCAGTCTTTCTCACAAACATCTTTCCACAATGTGGTTTTGTAGCAAGGCTGAGATAGCATGCTCAGGCAGGTGCACCAGATACATGGGAAGTTTTCTTCCGACAGCTGCATCATTCCAATTTGCGAGGATGCTTAGTTCTACCCACACAGAACCCATCCTTGCCATACAGAGCCAACTAGTCAAAGTACGAAAACTTACCGTGTACGGAACGGGAACTAAAGCCTGCGTCCAAAGCCGGTCAGCACTCAGAAAAGACAAGAGCTATTGCAACCAGGGTGATCGCTGATCTGTGACTAATCGGGTTGACAGGCATTACTGTTTGAGAACGTCGATATGAAATTCATAGAGAAGTTGGAGCGCTCTTATCATGCTAACATAATTGTGGAAAGCCGGTCCGTGGTCGTTTCAGTCAATACATATGTATCACTAAACGAGTCGCGTCGATTACATTCTATTTCTGGTACGAACCTTGCTCGCTGTTATCAGTAGTCTGAAACTGGTCGTCTTGTTAATGACTAGGGCTCCAATCTATTTACTGTGCTCGGGTGTGATCTCCGGACTTGCAGCAAGGATTCTTAACCGCGGTGAAATTCAACACTTTCGTTTTCACGTGGATACTTGGCAATACTCGACTTCCACAACGGTAAGTCTTTAATGCGCCAATTATTGGTATTGTAGTATAATTGGGCTACTATATGACGCCACAACTTGTAGAACTGGTTCTGCTCCATGTAGGAGAAGCATACGATATGACCTCATTTGAAGCGGGGCATGCCATGCTGTCTTGTGCCGAGTACTTATTGATGAAGTTGGTGAAATACAATATGTTTCTTTCTTTGAAGAGACTATACGAAACAAGTCCAGGGAGTAAACACTGGACTTGTAATCATGAAATTGCTTCCAATACTCTTTCTGAGCGCAACTGCTGCTGCACTGCCGGCATCAGTTAATGTTTCTGCCCGAGCATCCATTTCAAAAGTTGACGGCCTAAAGTTCAATATCGATGGCACGACCAAATACTACGCTGGTACAAACTCGTACTGGATGCCTTTTTTAACCAACGATACCGATGTCGACATCATCATGAGCCACCTCGCCGCCTCTGGCACCAAGATCCTCAGAGTTTGGGGCTTCAACGACGTAGAAGGCGAGCCTGATGCCTCCAGCGTCTACTTCCAATCCTTCTCCGGCTCCACCGCCACCATCAACACAGGCGCCAACGGCCTTCAACGCCTCGACGCTGTCGTTGCCTCGGCCTCTACCTACGGCATAAAACTAATCATCCCCTTTGTAAACAACTGGCAAGACTACGGCGGCATGAACGCCTACTTCGGCGCCTGCGGCGTCCTCATCCACGCGCAGTGGTACACCAAGGCTGAATGCCAGGCCATGTACCAGGCCTACATCGCCGCGGTCGTATCGCGGTACCGCAGCTCGCCCGCAATTTTCGCATGGGAACTCGCCAACGAGCCGCGATGCAGGTTGTGTCCTACTTCTATACTCACAAACTGGATCAGGCAGACGAGCGATTACGTTCGCTCGCTAGACGGCGAGCACATGATCACTGTAGGGGATGAAGGATTCGGACTTGAAGGCGGTCCATGGTTCCAGTATCCATACTGGTACATCGAAGGTATAGATTGGGCTGCTAATCTTGCTCTGCCGAATATTTCGTTTGGCACGTTCCATTTGTATCCCGAGCATTGGCTTGTTGGCGGCTCGTTTGGCGACGAGTGGATCAGGTCGCATGCAGAGGTTTGCGCACGGCTTGGGAAGCCGTGTTTGCTGGAGGAATATGGGGTTTCGAAGAGGGAAGAGCAGTGTGCAGTGGAAGGGGCATGGCAAGAGACGAGTTTGGGGCTGAGGGAAGGTGGTATGGCGGGGGACCTGTTTTGGCAGCTAGGAGATACTGTGGTTAGTACGGGGGACGCAACGCACGATGATGGGTTTACGGTTTATTACGGGAGTGACGAGTGGAAGTGTTTGGTTGATGAACACGCTGAATCTATTGGGTGAGAATCGGAGCGTGGTGGGCCTCTCTTATTTCTCACATAAAAGGTACAGTAAGAAGACGCGCAGTCATTATCCTAATTTGTTTCGCGCGCGAGACTCTTATGCGCAGTAATATTCAAGGTCCCAACTACTGCATGTGTTTCTTCGGAGATAGTACCAATACGCCTATCTGCGCCTCTACTACTAGCTGGAGTCGCCTTCCCCTCAGAACGATAATAGGTCGCGCCTTTTTCTGACGTCAAGCCCGCTGAAAGGAGGGGGCTCTGTGGCACTGACCACCAATACTATTCTCAGCTGTAGTGTAGTACTACCGCACGACTACGCCACATCGATTGCTGTAAGCAAGGGATTCAACTGTGCACCCCCAACCCCCCACGAACCAACACCCTTCATTTCCGCTTACAAGTACCTCTGCACAGCCTGGTCCGCTGCGTCTTTTGTTTGCCCCCTTTACTCGGTGCACGTAGCAAATTCCCAAAAAAGGCACACAGCGCCGTCTGACAGGTATCGCGTAGTCAAGATGCGCACAAAGCGTAAGGCCAGCTACGCACTACAGATACGCCCTACCGCTCTTCCGGCCCATGGGCGGGGGCCGCAAAACCCAGGCCGGACAAAGACCAGATCTCGTCTGGAGTGCTGCAGTCTGGGAAAGGCGTGGATGTGATATTTTGGGGGGCTAGATGTGCCTTAGGCGCCACAAAGGCGCACAGTCTTACCGCAGCACGCAGCACACAGTACACAGCACACAGCAAGTAGCCGCCTGCCGAGCGCCAGAGCTGAAGAGGTGCACAAGATTGGCGGCGGAACAATAATTACTAGTAGTCTTGCGGTAATCCCCCGCCAGCCCTAGCCTCTCAGCCGAGAAGCGGCTGAGCACTGCATACCTCTTTTCTCTCCATTGCTGATTCTACATCTTTTACCTGAAACCAGTCCTTTGTTTCCTTCTAGTGTATGGTTGTGAAACGGTACTTGTCACCCCCTACTATCGCCTGTTGAGCCACACATGTCCAGCCTTTGGTTCTAGCAGGGACTTTGTCTATCTATCGAAACGTACAAACCCGACCCAAGCCACCTACTAATGCGCGCTGCCGCTTTTGCGTCTGTAAGAACAGGCTGAGAAGCGTGCAAACAGAGAATCAGCAAAGAGACGAGGCGTAGGGATATATACGCTTGCATACAATGGCTGACCGTCGACCACTTATTCAAGAGACGCCGGATCTCTCTGAGAGCTCTGAGAACACCCCCGCATTACCGTCTCTAGGCTTCTCCAATAACTCTCCTGCTTTTGGGGCCACTGGTATTTCGCCCACGCGACCAGGCTACGCTCGCTATCAGAGCGACTCGACGGCCGTGAGTCGCAACACACCGAGTATCGTGCAAGAAGAGGATGAAGAAGACGAAGGTGACATCGCGCAAAGTTTCCAGCAGGGGGGGAAGGACACTGGGCTAGGAATCGCTACCACTGCAACCAGCGCCGTACCTCAGGCCGCCAGGCGCGTCAGTATCCAGCCTTTCCCTCGTCGAGCCGCTGGCCCTGGACCCAAAAGCCCTCCAGCAAAGAGCCCAGGTCCGCTCTCGCCTCTTAGTGCTACAGATCCTTATTTTGGCCATTTCCCGAGGAGCTCAGCAGAGTCGACCCCGGATCTCCGCCGAGAAAGGTTCAGTCCTGAGGTCGGGAGAGCGAGCCCCGTAGGCTCATATGAGGAATTTCGCCATGGAATCTTGAAGAATGTGAAGCAAAACAGCAACACGAGCGTAAACGACTACGAGAACTACATTCAGTCGTCAGATGCGCAGAGATTGAGGGGTGGTGGTGCGGCGCCCTCAATCAAGTCGGCGTACGAGAATGACTTCCGCCCTGTGCACGAGTGTCCGACGACAAAGGACTTTTACCATCCAAAGTTTACGTGGCTGAACTTTTCGATCTTCACTATTTGTCTCTTTTCTTGCGTCTTTTCCGGTATCTT